AAAAAATGATTTTATATAAAATAATAAAAGAGTATATATTATTCATATATTTTTATTTGTTATCTTTAAAAAAATTTCTTCAATAAATTTTTTGAATTCTTCTAAATTAAAAACCGTTTGTGTTATGAATAAAAACAAATCTTTTTAAATTTTCTCAAACAAAATCCTTCTATTTTTTTCATTTTATCCTTCTATTTTTTTAAAACCCTGTTCTTCTTTCCCCTCAAAACTCACAAACAAAATTTAAATTAAATAAAAAGATATGATGCCATTATTTATACCAATTAACGGAAACGAAAGTGTATAATTATTTTTCAAATATATTAATTTTTTTGTTTTGTTTTGTTTTGATACAATTTTAAGGGAAATTCTTTTTTTATCCTTACATTTTTTTAGGCACTTCCGATAAAATTTCTTTTTTATCTCCGGAATTCAAAGATCTATCTTTGAACGCATCACATTTTATTTTTTCTGGAATATTTTCGGAGATGTATTATTGAAACACTTTTTTTTCAAAAATCAGAAGTGTTTCAGAAATACATCTCCGAATTAGGGCATTACAGTAACAAATACAAACAACTACCCTTCATTCTCATTTCTTCCAAATTCTAACTATCAATCACCCCAAAAACCTCCAAAATCTCTACTTTCAAAATTCATTCAAGTTTGTCTACTCGTTTGCACTTGTTACAACTCTAAAAGCTTCAAATTTGAGTAAGTTCTCCAAATCCTTTTAATCTTTGCATTTGTATTTTAAGTTGTTTAGTTTATGTATAACTTATAAAAAGCTTGCTTTTATGTGTAAAAATTGGATTTTGGTGTAAAAATGGTGTTGTTAGGTTGAAGCATTGGTTATGGAAGTCGCTGGTTTGTTCGGAGATACATCTCTGAAAACGCCTCTGAGGAGTTTCGGAGATGTATCTCCGAAAATAGACCTGAGTTTTTTTTTCAAACTTGTTCTTGTTCGTTCGCTTACCTTTGATTAACGATTATTTATTTTTCGAGAAAAATGTCAGAGAACCCCAACAGATTGAGATTTGGTAGGCCTAGCCAATCTGCACCCGCTCAATAAGAGAGAGTTGAGCATACTATGAAGCGTCGAGGTTGCGGTTGGGTACCGCGGGAGGAAGTAGATGGGACATCGACTTCATCTCCGAGGAGTCGGCTTTCACGTACGTCCTCGTCTAGGGATTACGAGGAGGAGGAACCCGAGCGGATTCAGGTTCCGAAACCCAAAATGGTTGATGTTCTGGAAGCCGAGGAGGAGGCTAACTCGGGTTTTCCATGAGGGCCGATTGTTACCTCCCTCTTGATCTATTACACCGATCACGTCGCTCAATATGTTTCGGAGGGACAAATAAATTAGTTTTTGTTACACTTTTCATGTTAATAATTTATGGACTAGTATGTTAAAATTGATATTAATTAACACGAATGACGGCCACTAAAGTGTGTGAACCACGCGCGGAAGATATCCGAACAGTATCACTCTGATGAGGATTGGTTCAGAGAGATCATTTTTATTTAAGAGATTACGTATTAATAAATTTATAAAAAGGCCCGTAAGGATTGACATAAAGGGTTCTCCAAAGATGAATGATATAATATATCATCATTCTCAACTTCGTAATCGCATATTCATTGGAAGATATGTCCATTATTTATAATAATTTCACTTTCATTTGAACACTCGCCCTCAAAATAAGAGAAGTGACGTGTGCTTACTCATAACGCTATGAAGAAGAAATGAAAAAGTGAAAATCACATTCCCCCGGAATAAAATAGGGGAAAGTAACTATTCATTTTCCATGTTCTCAGGAGTGGAGAGTATTATTACTGTTTCTTTAGAGTCTAAGATCAAGACCGATGAAATTCCTATTAATACTTCAACTTTAAGGTCAAAAAGAAAAATAAAATATCCTCTCTAAAAACACGATAAATAAAATTTTTCATCTTTCCTTCGTAAACTTGTTCTAACACCATAACGATCCTACAATCCTCTAACAACCCACATAAGGAGTTGCCATGAATGGTACATATTAATTTTTTGGGTTAATACATATTTTCACCCCTGACATATGGGGTGTATTTGAAAAACACCCCTGCCAAAAAAAAGTTTCAATTGTTAGCTTGACAAATTTTAAAAGTTTCAGTTTTTACCTTGAGGATGCCACATCACTCATATGGCATTTATATTAATATTTTATTAATTGAGTGTTAATTCAAAGTTAAAATTTTTTTGTCCTTTAGCAAAAATCGAATCATGGACATACTGTTTGCAGTGAATGCTTCTTACCACTAGACCAATGCATTTTCTTTGTTACATATATGCATCAATAAATATTCATATCATTAACATATTAATTACAATTATCAATAAATTTTCTTAACTAGTTGGTTTAAATAATTTTTAAAAAAATGTTTTACATATTTTATCTTTTTACTGTAACTTTTTTTAAATTTTAAATTTTCAAAAATCACTTAAATTTAAAAAAATCACTTAAATTTTCAAAAATCACTTAAATTTTAAAAAATAAGTTAAATTTAAAAAAATCACTTAGATTTTCAAAAATCACTTAAATTTAAAAAAATCACTTAAATTTTCAAAAATCACTTAAATTTAAATCACTTAAATTTAAAATCACTTAAATTTTCAAAAATCACTTAAATTTTCAAAAATCACTTAAATTTAAAAAAATCACTTAAATTTAAAAAAATAAGTTAAATTAAAAAAATCACTTAAATTTTAAAAAATCACTTAAATTTAAAAAAATCACTTAAATTTTCAAAAACCACTTAAGTGATTTTTGAAAATCACTTAGTTTTGAAAATCACTTAGTTTTGAAAAATCACTTAAATTTAAATCACTTAAGTGATTTTTGAAAATCACTTAGTTTTGAAAAATCACTTAAATTTAAATCACTTAAGTGATTTTTTTAAATTTAAGTGATTTTTGAAAATTTAAGTGATTTTTGAAAATTTAAGTGATTTTAAATTTAAGTGATTTAAATTTAAGTGATTTTTGAAAATTTAAGTGATTTTTTTAAATTTAAGTGATTTTTTTAAATTTAACTTATTTTTTTAAATTTAAGTGATTTTTTTAAATTTAAGTGATTTTTGAAAATTTAAGTGATTTTTGAAAATTTAAGTGATTTTAAATTTAAGTGATTTAAATTTAAGTGATTTTTGAAAATTTAAGTGATTTTTTTAAATTTAAGTGATTTTTGAAAATTTAAGTGATTTTTTTAAATTTAACTTATTTTTTAAAATTTAAGTGATTTTTTTAAATTTAAGTGATTTTTTTAAATTTAAGTGATTTTTGAAAATTTAAGTGATTTTTAAAAATTTAAGTGATTTTAAATTTAAGTGATTTAAATTTAAGTGATTTATGAAAATTTAAGTGATTTTTGAAAATTTAAGTGATTTTTTTAAATTTAACTTATTTTTTAAAATTCAAGTGATTTTTTTAAATTTAAGTGATTTTTGAAAATTTAAGTGATTTTTTTAAATTTAAGTGATTTTTGAAAATTTAAAATTTAAAAAAAGTTACAGTAAAAAGATAAAATATGTAAAACATTTTTTTAAAAATTATTTAAACCAATTAGTTAAAAAAATTTATTGATAATTGTAATTAATATATTAATGATATGAATATTTATTGATGCATATATGTAACAAAGAAAATGCATTGGTCTAATAGTAAATATTTATTGATGCATATATGTAACAAAGAAAATGCATTGGTCTAATAGTAAGAAGCGTGGCATCCTCAAGGTAAAAACTGAAACTTTTAAAATTTGTCAAGGTAACAATTAGAACTTTTTTTTTGGCAGGAGATGTTTTCAAATACACCCCATATGTCAGGGGTGAAAATATGTATTAACCCTAATTTTTTTCTATATATGTTATTTAATTAACACTAATTACAGCATGCGAAACAATCAACCAGATCCGATAATCGTAAGTACAAATTTTAACTATTCTTTTCTAAATATATTATTTAATTAACACTAATTACATGATGTGAAACAATCAACCAAGTCCGTTATACAGTAATCAACGAGGATACAATTTTGAAACTTAAAACAATAATTTAATCAAGAATAGCAGTTTGAAGTAAAGTGACATGCCATTGCTAGTTGTAGCTTGGATTTGTGGCTACCAAAATTCCATTTCTCGAATACAGTTAGAGATTGAATTAATTGCCGCGAATGTCAGAAAGATCAAAGATAAGTGCCTCTCTTGAATGGCCAGAATTCAATCACATTTTAGAGCACCCAAAAGTGACATTCAAATTCATACTTTATTAGAGATAATGACAGACAGAAACATACTCTTGATTAAATTAACAAAAGTTAAATTACACAGCTAACATACCAACAAAGTGACCATGTAAAGTTTTGTCTTTGCACGGCGTGCATTCTTTCATTACCCGACACTAATCATGTTGGTCAAAACAAGTGTCTTCCTATTTCCATCATTTCCCATGTGGAACAATCTTAATTATTGTGTTCAAATCATCGTCATCATAATTGTATAGTTGACCCAATTCGTTAATCTATGGTCCATTTTTCATTCCTAAAATATCTACAACTACTATATTACAAACAAAAAAACATCTATACAATTTTTTCATGGTTTGTAGTAGTTATCTAGAAGATGAAAATTACTCCAAATGAATCTTTGTTGAAAAAAGAAATACAATTGCATCACGTCTATAATTTCCTATTGACAAAAGGTGAAGAAGAAGAAAAGAAAAAAAAAAAAAGCCAAAATCACCAATTACATAGAAGCAACAGCTAAAAAACACCAGAGTGATAAAAGAATACAAAAAATTGGATTGAATTGAATCACTATAGTTGCTAACTACTACAAACATTGAACTGTTGAATGAGGGAAAGAAACAAGTACATGATCTCAAAGACACACAACAGCTCTGAAACAGATCTTCACTCGAGACAGTATGAAGTGACCGACATAACGAAATTCTGAATTCTGGACTATACAACCAATGAGGTATCCTGCATTAATGAAAAATTCTATCAACCATACTTCAAATATAAGTTTCCGACAAACATATATTGTTTAGCGAGTGCAAATGTCTAACCTTTGTTGTCAAGTTTGAAACAGCCATATTAAACTTTTCTCTAGTTTTAGTACCAGCCACGTTTCCGGCTTTCGCCACCTTGCTAAAAGCACCCGTTAGCCATGATGTTCCGGCAGTCACGTATCTGTATGCAAAAAATTTATCATCAGCAATAAAAAATAATATACAAACTTAAGGTCTCATGTATATGTGACATAACATTTCTCTCCAACTCCAGAAATATAGAAACATAAACGTCAACATATTTGGTATGAAATGGCGCATTTTGTTTCCGTCTCTAGTTTTCATTTAAATTGTGAAACTCTCTTATTATGACAAAATCACAGCAATAAAATATAGAAATCATAAAGCATACGCTGCAACGAAGATGATATCGTATTCAACCAAACCTGCTTGTTTTGACAGCTGACCCAGTATCGTTCAACTTCCTCTCGGCTGCAAATATTGCTGCCATTGTTTTATCCGAAACATGTAACCTCTGATCCACAGATTTCACTTTCTCATTCACCACGGAAAGTCCAACTGTCAATTTCTCTGTCAGTCCAACTCTCTTGTCAAATGAACTGACCTTTGCTGATGCATTGGCGGTCAGTTGATGCTTCTCATCAAATGCTTTAGCTTTGTTCACGGCATCTTGTTTTATCGCTGATCCTTTTGCCAGCATATTCGTAACAACATCTTGTGCTTTACTAAGATATACTCTTCCACCGGGTTTCTCCTCCTGAAATAGGTGTTGTACAGAAGACAATAAGCTTAATCACAAACACCATAAGAAAACCAATCAGGCAAAAACTTATAATTTTTTATTACTTATGTCTTTACCTCAGAATTCAATGCGGCATCTTCAGACGGAGCAATTGTTATAGCATGTTCCCCCACCCTTGCTTCCTACATAAATTGCTTTCCATAAGTACCTATTTTTTATCAATATGTGCACATTAACATAAGAGATATTGGTATTTGTTACACTTACTTGCATCTCACGATTAGCGACATAGTTTTCAACGGGACTTATACTCACAATCTGGTCTACTATTGTTGCTCCCTGATATAAAGACAATAAAAGTTTCACTCCCACAAACAAGCAATTGACTTGATAAAACTAAGCAAACATACAAGAGATTAAAATATGTTTTACGAAACGAATGTTAGCATAAAGCCTAATTTACTAAAATACGAAGAACTTCTTTGTGCTCCCATTCTAATTAAAAGAAGGTATCAAATACGAAATTGACATCGAGATTCTTGTGGATCTCAATCTCAGTTTCTTTCTAGAGTTATGGCTTTCTGATTTTCAAAATGACCAACTCAAATCCAATCTTAAATGTTCAAAAAAAGTCAATACGATTCACTCAAGTGTCCAATTATCCTTCACAAAATTGCAATGGAACATTTTTTCCATCACGCAGAACAAACATACATTATAAACAAAATGAAAACTCATACCCTTTTGTGGTACAGTCATTCTTTTCGTAATGATTAATCCCGGTTTAGATTAGCTTCTCCCTTATGGGAGATAAGTTTTTAATACTTAACAAACAACTAAAGCCCTTAAAAAATTTGGCTAGAAAGAAGTTGGATAATAGAGCTTCTAAAACCATTAAGATGCAGAAACTAATTTCACCTTATGCAAAAAGCTACTAGTTTTAATTAGTTAGAAGACTCATAATCATGATAAGATTATTTCAACTTAATTTCCTTACAAATTTTATCAAAAAATTAATCCAAACATGATAATAAACAAGTTACCATCACAGCTTCAATAGCAAAATAATGAAGAGAAAAGAGACAATACCGACAACAATAACGCAATTTCAAGTGCTTTTGGATCTTTAAACGTCACAAATGCAGTCTTTGGTTTTCCATATTCTCTGCAACAAACAAACACACAAAGTAAACAACGATAACATGAATTAAACTTTCTCAACAAACAAGTACCAAACAAAAGTGAAAAAACTGCAAGATTCAACCCACAAAACGTTACAATCCAAGACAAGAATTTACACTAAACAAAAGGGGTAAATCAAAATTTAGAAGGAAAAAAAAAAGTGAATTTTGGTAATGAAATTATCCACCTAACGATCTGAATGTTTTCAATTTCTCCAGAAAACGAGAAGAATTCGTAAATCTCTCTCTCAGTAGCTAGATCTGAAAGTTGCTTCACTTGAACCGTACTTGTCTGAAAAACTCAAGAAAAAAACAAAGTTACATAAAAGAAGAAAAAAAGGAGAATTTGAATTTGAAGAAGAGGAAGAAGAAGATTTAACCTGCATTATGATAAGAGTAATTAGAACTAAGAGCGATTAAAGTGAATAGGTTTTGAATTTTTGTGTGCTGTGTTCAAAAGTGACAGAATATGAAGAGTTGTAATGAGAGAGAGAGAGAGAGAGAGAGAGAGAGAGAGAGAGAGAGAGAGAGAGAGAGAGAGAGAGAGAGAGAATGTGTGACAAGGCAAAGAATGTAATGATGATATGTATGTGAAAGACCCAACATTGTAACAATGCTGGCACAATGCCAGTGAGTGACTCTTCCTGTAATTTCATAATTCCATAAATGTCCTCTTAGTAATAAATTTTAACCAATTAGTACGTTTTTGTTTATTTAATACTAATAAATAAGGAAATTTGTTAATGGTTAGAAGAGAAATATTTGGAAAAACATAAAATGGGGATAAAGTGTGTGAATCTTTAAAAAAAATTGAATTATTTATGTTAACTAAGTAAGTAGTATATAGATTGATTTCCTAAAAAGAAAATTGTATAATTTTTATTTATTAGACTATATTTATGATTAAACCAATTGTATTTGTGATTTTTGAAATATTTATTGAGTTTTTTTATCATTCATAACTTATTTAATAAAATTCAACAAATTTACTAATGGAAAAAAGGGATAACATGACTCTTTTATTTGTTCACGCTCTCTGTTTTGAAATAATAATCACGTTTATAAAAAAAATTGTTTTAAAATACTTATCATTTTATCTTATTAATATAATTTTATTTTTAATTTTTTAATTATACTGTCTAATAAATATTATTATTTTATTATTTTGTCATTTAATATTAATATTAATTTGAATATATCAATAGTTGATAAAGATAATTTAATAAAATTATTATTCTTTTTTTTTATTTATTACGATTTCTTAATTTATGTGAAAGTATTAACTATGACAATTATTTTAAAATAGAGAAAATAATATTTTTACGGAAATGAAGTTAAAAACTAAATAGGTGAATGGGTTTTATTATATAGAGAAAAAAATGTGATTTATGAGGATTGAATGGAAGAGATCGATTTAAAGAAAAAATGAAATATTTTTAGTAAAGAATTTTTTTTTCGCACTCTAGTTATCGGGAAAAAGGAGTCTTAGTAATCAAAGTTTGTGTCGAGAGATATGAGTATTGGTCAAACATTATTCTCATCTAAAAATCGAATCCATTATTCTTTAAATTACGTCTTTAACATAAGCTCATTTACCACTAAAATTAAATGTTTGATTTAATCCAGAATATTTTATTATGGATGAATAATCAATTTATTCATAAATTATTATTTTTATATAATTGTCAAGAAATAATTAAAGTAGTTTTATGGTATGGTATACTCATACTGGTGTTTGGTCATACCATGAATTTTATTTCACTTTTCTATATTCAATTTGATTTTAGTTTTTTTTCTTCATATAATTTAATCATTTAATTTACTTTTACCATTTAATTTAACTATTTATTAGATTATTTATTTAGCAACCATAAGATTATTTGGGTGATGTAAAATTGATTCATTTAATTTTTATGGTCTAGATGATTACATTGAATGTGAGTCCACTAATATGGTTAATAACACGACTCACTCTTAGAAAAAGAATTTAAGTTCGACTGTAATGAAAAATGTTTGGTATTGTTTGCAAAAATAAACAACAAAATTCGTATATGCAGATATTTATTCGAATTTAGAGAAAATTTGTCTTGATAAACAGTAGCTTACCATTTAGGTATGAAATCTGTTTTGAATGGATTAGAGTTTGAGTTTGAATTTTCTTTAATTATAAAATATGAAAATGATTGGGTAATAACGACATTAGTATCCATCGTGAATCCGTTTTCAAATTCATCCCGTTTATTTTATTGTGTATATTATTATTCATTTTTGATAATTTAGAGTATTGAATATGTGGTTAATGTTTTACTAATTTGATTTGTATTTATTATTTAAAATATTTGAAATGTATGTACGAAATTTTTTGAGAATTTTTTATTTTATTATTTATAATGTAATTTAATAAAAAATAAAAAAAATTATTTAAATATTGATTTTACTAATTAAATAATAGTGGAACGAGATACTCGAACCTAACTCAAACCTATTTAAGACGGATATGAATTTTATTCTCTATTTCCATTTAAGTTTGGAGCAAAAAATAGAAATTACTTAAGAATTCGAGTTTGAGTTGAGAGAGATAAAAATCATCCTGAACCCGTCCATCGCCAAATGCTTATAATACAACTTGTTGAATAATTGAAAAGTTGTTTTACATATTAATTACTGAACTAAACATTAAACATATAAATATTTTATATATTATTTTAATTTCAATAATTATATTATATTGATATATTTTGATTACATTAATGATTTTATCAAATTAAATGCCTAATGATCAAATAAAATTAAAAATTCATATAAATTTTATTTAGAAATTAATTAATTATATATGAACTCAAATATTGTTGGAAATTACACCAAACCTATGGAGAATTTCAAATCAATCTTGATGAATAAGATTCAATCAACTCAATCAAAATTTCTTGTTTATCACTTTTCACTTGAATGAATCAACCAACCTTAGTTGCAAGATGATTTTGCGCAATAATTATTAATGGAAGAAGAAGGAAAATAATTGGGAAGAAGAGGATTAAGGTTTGAACAAAATAAGGAGAAGATGAATATTTTCTGCAGAGTTTCTCTCGACTCACAAATTTGTGATTTTATTATGCAACTGCAAGTATTTAATGTTATACAAAATAGGGGTTACTCTCTCTATTTATAGTTTTAAGTTAGCTTGCTTTCTAAGGCAAAGCCCAAAACACAAAAGTCCAAAATACTTATTTTGGTCTAATTTGAAATCTTGTGTCAAGAAACCTGTTTCGACACTTCTACATCTAATACAACTCGATACACATACTAGGCTAATTTCGACACACCCTTATATTTGTCGAGTAACATGTTGCTTCGACACAAGGGACTATTATTTCAACACACCATATAATTTATTGTGTCTAAGCTATCTACATTCATCATAGATCTTAACTTCTTAAACACTTCTACCTGCACTCCTTTTTTCATGATGTCGGCAATCTGATTCTCAATTTTGCAGTGTTTCAAGTTCAACTTTGCTTTTTCTACATGTTCTCGAAGATAATGGAACCTCATTTCGATGTGCCTGCTTCTGTCATGTGCTATTAGATCTTTTCCATATTGATAACTTCCATGTTTTCGATCTTCATGGTAATTGCTCCATGACTCTTTCATGTTATTTCTTCGACCATGTTCACCATCCATGTTGCTTGACATTCACAAAGAGAAGTAGTTATGTATTTTTCTTCACATGACGATAATGTTACTACTGGTTCTTTTCTCGAACTCCAATAAAATGGTGCACCACCTAGCATAAACACATAATCAGTTGTGAATTTTCGATTTTCAACATCACTACACAATCTTGAGTTGGTGTATTCCTCTAGTTTGTATTATAGGTCGCTTTTGAAGAAAAACTTATAACTTTTCTAAGTATAAAAAGTCAACATCTTTTTCTCAACTTTGACTCACCACAACATTTAGCTCAAGTATCCATTTGATTCTATTTTTTGCACATTGTAAAGATTGTAACCGTATCTTTCAAATGCTTCAAGAATCATGCCCTAAAACTCATTGAGTTATGAATACCATTGATTCAAAGTTGGCACCTTGAAACTGACTTTTTCCTCCAAGTCAGAATTTGAGATGCACAATTCAGCTTCTAATCACTAATTTTTTGCGCGTTTTTACTTCTAATCATGTTTAACAGTCTTCCAGAAGTGATTAACACCTTGAAACGCAAGTTTTGATTGAGTTTTGAGCAAAATACGAGTCACACTTTTTATGCTTGCAACTTCACATGAATTCCCTCCAAACTTCATCATTCCACACGCTTGAGCATCCCATTTACTTCCCTATAAATAGAGGGTTATATCTCACTCATTTTCTCAAGCTTTTGATAGCCAATTGACCCATGTTCAGATCCCACACGAACTCTGAATTTGAATTTCTGATTTCTTACTTTCTCACTCCAAAACACCAAAAGCTCCATTCAGCTAGCTTCATTGAACTTCTCTGAATCTAACCATACTCTTACCTTTAAGAATTGTAACCTATACTGATCTACAGAAGTCCAGTTTCAGAGCCATCTTGTGCTACTTCGTTCAGGTAGATTCCTTAGTCAAACCGATCCAAATAAAAGACTAATCTACTCTCTGCATCCTTCTGATTCTCATGCTTTTTATAATTTGTGATTTCATTGAGATTTGAGTGAGATATTCCAGAATTTCGTACTCGCTATTATTTCTGCATTTTCTCAATTCAAGCCTTGCTCAGTTTATATAAATTTGGCGCGAGGGTACCATTAGAATCGTCTTGAAGAGACGAATCTAATGGTACCGGTCTGGTCCTCTAATTTTACAGTTTGAAGAACCCCAATCTAGGGCGTCCGGAGGTTGAAGACGACCTACGTGTTGTGCTTCAACCAATGAAGGTGTGACATGTAGTTTTTTAAATTCAATCGAGTGTGTTTGCTTTCATTAGTTAGACTACATCCAACGTGCCAAAATTTTAGTTGTTTTTAATATTTAAAAGTTAATCTGGTGTAATTTTCAAAGCTGACCATGATATGCACATCGTGCTTGATCCTTTGGATCTGATTACTAGCGCTTTTTGATTCTCATCCAATGGTCCACATTTTTTAAAACTTTATTTTATTTTCTCTTTTTTTACACCAAACTTCAAAAAATTATAAAAATTTCATTTTTGACTCAAAAATTATGAAAAATTCACAAAAATATTTTCAAATATTCTCTTTATGATTTTTATTTTTTCATGATTTTATTTTCACATTTAGTATTTTTTATAATTTTTCCCTTATCTTGACTTGTTTTTTAATTATTGAAAATACATTTTAATGTTTTTAAATTGTGAAAAAATTTATAAAAATCATTTTACTCATTTTTGACTT